TAACTTTCCATCGATCAATAGTTATAAGGCGACTTTAATTTTAAAGTGTCTCGGATCTTTGATGCTTCTTTCTATTTCTCCAGTCTCTGGGTAGTAGATGAAAGGATCCATCCAGCTTTTACTTTCGCCGATCATTATCTCCATGGCTTATGTTCGTTAATCGTCGCCCAAGTAAGCTTTATGGGGCTTCCCCCTAAGTAGTCGCGTTTGGTGAGAATTTTAGCTACTTGATTGTCTTTCTGGCTGATGTGCTCAATGCAAAAGCTCTTGAATATTATAAATTCCTTCTTCATCTTGGCGAGGTACTTAACCATCATCTCGTCTCTGGCTTCAAATTCTCCATTAACTTGACTCCCAATTAGCAAGAAAACATACTTGAGGTCACGGACACCTATTTTATAGGCCAAGTGGAGTCCGACGACCAACACTTTGTACTTTGTCTAGTTCTTTGTGACATTGAGTTCCACTGAGATTAACTGGTAGAGGAGTTCTTCGATTGGGCTGCATAGAACCTGACCAAGTCCTATCATTGATTGCTTGGAGGTCCCATCAACATAAAGAGTCCATGTCCTGTCATCATTGACAACTCCTTCATTCTATCCTCCTGTCACAGAGAAGTCAACTAGGAAGTCTGCCACACTTAAGCTTTAATTGTCGTCTGAGGTAGGCCATGTTGAATTCACTGAGCTCCACTGCAAACTTTAGTAGTCGATTAGAGTGCTCTGACTGTGTGAGTACAAACTTCAATGTATGGTCCGTGATGACCCGAATTGGATGCATTTGGAAGTACATTCAAAGTATACAAGCTGAAACACTCAAAATAAGGGTTAGTTTTTCAAAAATTGGATACCTAGTTTTGGTGTCGTGAAGCACCCGCCTTGTGTAGTAGATTGGGTACTGCTTGCTTGCCTCCTCTCGGACCAGAAATGAGCTTACAGCCTCTCGTCTGACTCTGAGGTAGAGAGACAATTCTTTCGTTGGATTCATACTCTGGATCAGTTGTGATGTTACCAAGGAATCTTTCAAGTTCTTGAACACCTCCTTACATTCAGTCGTCCATTCAAAATGATGATTCTTCCTTAGCGCCTTACTAAATGTCTCGCACTTGTCACCTGATTTTCGGTTGAAACAGCTGAGACCTACAATCCAATCGGTTGGCCTCTTAATTTCCTTGGTACTCTGCGGAGGCGATATATCTAGGATCGCTTGTACTTGTTTTTGTGTTGGCTTTCAGTCCTTCAGGAGTCAATAGGAAGTTGAGGAACTTTTCGGCCAATGCCTCGAAGGTGCACTTAGAGGGTTTTAATCTCATATTGAATTTTTTGAGTGCTTTGAATGTCTCTTTCAGATATTTGATGTGTTGTTCGAGTGAGTTAATTTTAACAAGAATATAATAGACATACACCTCAACATTTTTTCCTTTTTGAATGGAAAAAAGTTACATCCATGAGGAGCTAAAAGGTTGCCCCTGCGTTCTTAAGCTTGAAGGGCATTACGTTAAAACCAAATATGTCTTGCATAGTAATGAATGTTGTTTTTCTCTGCATCAACTAAGTGCATCTTTATCTGGTAGTATCCTAAATAAAGGTTGAGGAAATTCATGATTGAGTATCCAATCGCTGCGTCCATCAAGGTGTCAATCTTAGGTTGGGGGGGGGGGCTACATATGATTTGGCCAAGCAACATTAAGGTTAGTGAAGTCGACACACATCTGTCATTTTTTATTATCCTTCTTGGCCATCATTATGTTTGAGAGTGAGATAGGGTACTGACTTTGCAAATGTAGCCAACGTTCAACATTTTTTGTACCTCCATCGCTACTGGTTCAACCAAAATTTTAGCAGTCGGCCAAATCTTCTGCTGGACAGACCAAGAAAAGGGGTTGATATTCAGAATGTGGCATGTTGCATCAATTCAAATGCCAGAAATCTCGGTTGTGATCCAAGCAAACACCTCTTGATGCTCCCGAAACATTTCTATCAACCTATTCTTAAACCCTGCATCAAAATGTTCACTGATAAGCAAAACCTTACGGGGATCTTCGTTAGACACGAGTACTTGATGGATGACTTCACTGGTCTCAAGACCTCCTTTTCTCTGGATTTGGATGTCAAGCACTTCATGGGTAACATTCGAGACTGCTCACAGGTAGCAACTCCTAGAATGCTCCAAGTTCCCTCGGATAGTAATTATCTCCCCATCACATGGCAGGTAAAAGTGACCACCCGGTAGTTGTTCAGGAGTGGTCAACTGAATATGGCATTGTAGGTCGTCGGAGATTCCACTACAAGAAAGTTTTTAGTACTGTTCTACTTGTCAGGCTCTTCTCATGAGATGGCAAGGGTGATAAGGCTCAATGCCTTCTTCCTTTCTCTGGAGAATCTGAATAATAGGTTGACCGGTGTTGTTAACTAATCGGTCTTCAAGCTAATCTTATCAAACACCATTTTGAATAAGATGTTCACCAAACTCGCAGTATCAACAAGGATATTACCCACCTGGTAGTTGTTGATTAGTGCTGTGATGTATCACCTTGTTGTAGAGGTTCCCCTCCGGTGGGAGGTCAACGTCTGTAAAGACCATGGGTAAATGTTTACGTGTACATGGGATGACAGGACATACCTCTTCCGAACATTATCTTTTTCAATTGGAGGGTCAGTTTTCCCCCTGAAGATGGCTGAGATTATTCTCACAACGTAGACCTCATTTGCTCAGAAAGTCCCGTTTGGGGGTTCTCTCACTGGGGACTTGACCTGTCGCTAAGTATGCGCACTGATCACTATGAACTCCTTGAGTTTCCTAGCACGGATGAGCTCCTCAGTCAGATTATTGAGGTGATGACACTACTTTGTGTTATGGTTGCGTTCTCAGTGGTATTGGTAGTACCTTTTTGGGTCCCATAAAGTTGGGGGCACCTTCAGCGACAGAGCTAGTTTAAAATGGTCCTTGTTCTGGATGACATTGGCTACTTCGTCCATTGACACATTAAAGGGTGTTAAAATCTGCATTTCTTGATAATCATGCAGTCGCTCATAATATCGTGCTGACCGCTGGTCAAAGCTACGCTTCTGGTCATGGTGCTCATGATTATTTCCTTGTTCATTCCGGGACTAGGAGTTATTATTTTGGTGACTGGCAGAGTATTTTATGTCTTTCACCCTCTACGATTCACTTCGTTCTTCCACCTTTTTGAGGGGTGGTCAGGCTGCTCCATCCTACCTATAGGAGAACCTTGGAGGTATTCCTTGGACAGTATATCCTCATTTGCCATCTTCAATGTTTCAGCAAAAATAATGGGTTTAAACATGTTTAGATCATACTTGAATCGCTTGCTTCAGACCCCTTATTTCAAGGCTGTTATGCCTATTTAAGGCTTCAGTTTCTTAACTTTCAACATCTCGTTCTGGAAGTGGTCGATGTAAGCTAGCAAGCTCTCGTTCTATTCCTGATTGAGGTCAAGTAGGGTGTCCGAGTTTTTTCTTGACTTCTGTACAATCTATAAGTGCAAGATGAAAGGTTTTTTTAAACTTGTACTCGTTGGGGATTGTTTCATTCAGTAGACCATTGAATCATCGAAGTGCTCACTCTAGGAAGAGACGACAAAGTATGGGGTTGTCAACTTGAACCAAACTGACTGATGGCTGGAACGACGCTACGTGGTTGATCAAATTGGTCTTCCCCTTTAAAGGATTCATATGCTGGATCCTTTGCTTTAGAGAGGGTAGTTTCTCTTTTGTTTGACGAGTAAATTCTCCCCCTCTGGCCGGACAGGTACTCACATTTGCTCTTCCCATCGTCTGTTAGCCTGTGCAAATGCACATGTGTCAGTGTATTGAGACTCACTTGGTTCATCCGTCTGCTAGCTGTTGACTTAGTTGTCCGGGACAGGCGGGTTCACCGATGGACCCTCTGAGGTTCTGTCTCCAAAGAGGTGCATGGTTGTTCCTCTAAGTGATTGCTGTTTGGAGGACTTCAAATTGTTCCATCATGAGAGTCATTTGGGCCTGCATCTACTGGTTTTGTGTGCGCACGTATGGTTGCGTAGACTCTTTATTGTGTTTTATGTGCACTATTCCTCTTTGGGAGCTTTCTTCTTCGTAGTCTTTCTCGCTTGTAGTCTGCGGTATGATCCACGCTCACCGAACCGTCTTTTAGGATGTTGGATCCTAATTTTTTTTGTGAATCATGACCCGAGAGTTAGAGCTGGATGAAGAAGAGGAGGAAGAGAGAGAGTATAATAAGTCTGGAATTCCTCATTGTAAGAGTCCAAGAAGAGGTTCATTGATTCATATTTTTGCTCCTTATTTATAGGGATGCATTTTGTATAATTATGAAAATGACAGAACAGTTATGTAAACTGTTCTTAATGTGATCAAAATACTATTTATTTGTATGAATTCATGTAATATTTGCATTACAATTTGAATTTCAATCAAGGCGGTGATTAGCAGGGCGACTGACTTGACATCAGTGGACTGAGACGACCGGGTGAGTGGCGATTGTGACCCCCCAACGCACGTGTTGGTTGGTCGAGGCGTTTGGCCGCGCGGCGATCTCGTTTGTCATGGATCAGTCGGTCTGTTGCGGTTGAGCGCTCCTACGTGTCATGGTCGGTTAGGACCACATGTGTGGTCCGCCATTAAAATCTCTCGTCGTGGGAGACCAAACACATTTTTCCCGCCCAGATGATAGTGGGGTGGTAAAAACTCTATGTGTGATCTTCATTTGAGCCGTATGATGACTTTGAAATTCATATTGGTATTTTTGATGTGCATATATATATATATATATATATATGTCTCAAAATTTTAAAATAACATTAAAATTTTACTATCATTATATTTTTAAATATAAAATATATTTTATATACATAAATTTATTACATTAATATATTATAAATATAAATACTAAATTTTAGATCTAAGATATTTGTAATTTTTTAACATTTTAAATGAAGTCTCACTTAAATACGTGACAGTACCGCCACTAGTATTTCTACTGCGGCACGTGCTCCTCCGTAAACTGATGGCTCGTCTCCTTCTCACCGCGGATTATCGTACCGTTGGTAATGGTACAGCCGTTCACTGTCTAAAGACATCACCGGAGAGTGGAAGAACCACTTTCTAGAAACTTCTCATCTTCTTTGACGACGATGGCAATGACCACGGGCGTTCTTCCCGGCAGCTCGGCCGTCCTCCCACCCTTTAAAACCCTAAATTCCTTCGCTCGATCAACCGCCGTGCTCTCGTGGATCGATGCAAAGCATGGAAATAGTTTAGGCTACTCGCTCTCTCCTGGTGTTCGCTATGAAAGGGTGAAGAAGTATCGAGCTTTGTCTTTCCCCTCTTCTCCCTCTGGCGATCTCCGACCGGATATCGACGAGAATCCGGAAGGGATTTTATCTGGCGAGTGGCCTGAGAATTTCTCCCTCCTCAGTTATGATGACCTCAGGGCCTATCTTGAGACGCAAATCACTAATGAGAGGGTCCGTCTTCTTTCTCAGTTCGATTTCACTTTTTGGTCTTTCATTTGTGCTTCGTTTCGTTCTAAACTTTGTTTCTGATGGCAGATGAAACCATCGGCCTTGTTGGGCGAGGTGATGTCAACAACGATTAGGACTGCGACACCGGATCAGACGCTGGAGGAGGTCGATCACTATTTCGAGGTCGTGTCGGGGCTTCCTGTAATAGACGAGAATCTCAGGTGCATAGGGGTTGTATCGAAGAAAGATAAGGCTAAAGCGTCTAAAGGGGTCAGTTCCTAGAACTCGTTTTGGCACTTTTCCTGAAGCTTATTTCTTGAAAAAGAAAAGATTGTACTGTTTGGAGGAGGAAACAAACTGCATTTTGGTTCCATTGACTCTGGATTTGTTTTCTGTGCTAAGTTAGATAAGCTGCGTGCAGTACGTATGATTTTAAAAAAAAAAAATTGCCATAAAGGAGTAAATCTTGATATAGTAAATATTTAAGCATAGAGTGTTTAACGGTTAATATTTTGTTAATGTAAAAAATGGGTGGTCGTCTACTTTAAAAACTTGTGAGTGTATTGGGAATGAAGCAAGCAATGGAATGCACACAAAGTTGGAGTAAAAACAAGAAGGGGAATCTATAAATATGCAGAAATTGGCAAACCTGTTGCCCTTATTTTCAGATTGCTGCTGTTAATCTTATTAATTTTACCTGGAAAAGCTGGGTTATGGGGCTGTTCAGTTTAGCCTTTATTAGATGTTAGCCTTACATGATTGTAGTATTGGTTGATGTATCGCTATCTAAACAATAACAACAGAAACTCTTAGTGGGATAATGGCTTGTTGTTGCTATCACTATTTGTTGCTGCTATCGCTATCTCAAAAAAAAAAAAAAAAGTGTTTGGTTCAATGTTATTGTATGTAAACGATATTAGTTAAGATTGTAATTGTTTGATTCATGAATATCAATCTTAAGTGCTCTGGTCCTCTGTGAATTAGCAGGGGAAGTGCACTTGATATTAAGTTCATATGACAATCTTGTTTGGTTTCTTTCATTCTTGTGTGTTAAGGTGAGAATTAGATATGAGAAATGCGATTGCAACATAAGAATCCATTTATAAGATTTCTCCAAGCAGCATGATTTAGAGGTTTTAATTTAATCAAAGATGTTTGAGTGCCCGACGATGCCCGTCATTTATAAATTTACATAGCATGATATCATAGATAATGATAAACCAAACAACCTTGTAGCGCATTATAGGAGAAGGGCACGACTCATATCATATACTTTTTTCACATGCATATTTTTTACTATTTTTTTCTCAAATTTTAGGACTATATGCATACTAAAATAGTTGTCTCTATCATATATAGCATCCAATCTAATGCCTTATTTAATATTGAATATTTACCCATTGATTATTTTAATCTTCATTTTACTTTGGGAATCTGGTAGTCATATTGTCTGTGCATTTTCTTATCTAAAGCGGTGTTCGCTACCATGTATATGGTTCCGACAAAATACTAATATGGTATGTTATTTATTTCTGATTCTACACATTGTCTTTTTTTTTTTTTTAATTGTATCTTTAACAAGGAGTGTAGAAACAGAAATAATAAAGAAGACTACTTTGCTAGAGTTTCACTTGAATCATTTTGGGCTGCATTTTGAACTTTAATGGATGCATATGGATCGTTAGCTAAGTAATAGAAAGTTATGAAGTACAATTTAGAGGAAAAGGGAGCTTTATGTTGTTTGAAATTATTGCGGCTGCCGCTCGCCATACTGTCATGTGCAAGTGTGTAAAATAGCAAGTTTTACACCCTTTGGGAAAAGGGAGTGTAAAATACTAATATGTGCAAGAGTAACTGACATGGGAGACAGAATCACTGCAATACTGTGGCTACCAATTGAGGTCACTGCAGAAGTGATCCGAAGGAATATAAAATTTTTTTTCCTTCTATTTTCTAGCAAGTTTTTTTTTTCTTCTTTCTTTTCTAGCAATTTCCTATTTTTCTAGTTTCTAATTAAGTCATTTTCTCTTAAGGGAGCTTTATATTGGTTGTATTCTGATTTTGGGATTTTTTTTTGGCTTGGTTTTATGTATTTTGAGAGTTTATTCTTTGATTTCCTCCCTTCCAAAGTGTTGTAGTCTTTTCCTCTCGCAAGTGGTGAGTATGTAGCTTGCCCAAGAATAGATCGCTGTCTGCCGCTCGCCATACTGTCATTTGGTCGCTGATTTGAGCTGGACAGTTGTCAAAATAATCACTGTCTGCTTTTACAGCAGAAACTGCCCCTTTTCTGCTTTCCAATTCATTATCCTGTCGCAGTTGACTCGGTTTTTAGCTATAAAGAAGTTGGGGTACTCCACAATCAATCCCATAAAGATGATCTGTGATAAACAAGCTGCCATCAGTATTGCAAAGAATCATGTGCATCATGATATGACCAAACACATTGAGATTGACCAACATTTTATCTCTGAAAAGGTCAATGGTGACATTATTCACTTTATCTACATTTCAACTATCTTCAAGTCATTAACGTTTTCACTAAAGCTCTACCGCCAAGCAGCTTCTCTGAGTTGAATACCAAGTTGGGTTTTTACAACATATATGAGCGAGAATTATGAGAAAATATAGGAAGATTTGGTTGGAGACAATTTAGGAACTCCTTGATGAGTTTTATCCCCTTCCTATTTCTTCTTGTTTCAGTTTATTTTCATAATTATTTCATTTACATATTTAGGGTGGATATATTTGGTAAGATTGTAAATTAGAAAAGAATAGTTGTCCTATATTTGAGCCTCATAGTTCATGATTTGGAATAAGATTGTAGAGATAATTCTTTCCTTATTTTTCTTCAATTTACAAAGAGAACCCTACTGAAAAGCAAAAGAAAGTAGATACTCAAATAAAAGAATGCTCACAAAAAAGGTAGTATGTGAAGTATCAAGGAGAGAAGCTGAAGAACTAAGCTCATTGTCCCCAATACGTTAAAAACCACTCCAGATATTGTTATTTGATCATGGACTAGTGGGACAATAGCTTTATGTCTAACCATAATATTAATGATTAACCACCCCCCCCCTTCATCTTCTCAAGACTCAAGAGCAATTTGTTTTAATTGTTGCACTAGAAAATAACTTTAAACATCAATATATAAATGGTGGCAAGAATCCAATGGAGATTAAAGTCAATGCTAAAATGACAAGAAAAAGGCAAGCCAACAATATCTTCTACTCGATCAATAACCATAATAATTTATAACATCCCACACATATTACAAACGCTCCCCTGCAGTACAATACCAACAATAATAGATTGCATTGTAGTAAAAACTTCCAAATCTCTCAATGTGATGACATATAATTTATATTTTAAAGCAACCAATAAGAGTTTTGTTTGATTCTAGTGAATCTCATTCGATCATATCAAATAAATTCACATTGAGTGCACCAATTTTTTTAATATTAGATTTCATAAACTTGGCAAACTTATCAAACCAAACTCGTGGAGATTGTTTAAGGCCATAAAGTGACTTTCTTAGTTTACTAACAAGATATTTATTTGAGCCATTTTCCAGCCCAGTGGGATCTCCATATACACTTTTTTTTCAACATCTCAATTCAGGAATACATATTCTTGATATTCAGTTGATGCAGTTCCCACTCTGCCTATTGCAAATGAAAGAACTCTTACAATGTTTAGTTTGACTACTAGTACAAATGTCTCTTGATTGTTTATTCTATAAGACTGAGTGAAACCTTTCACCAACAACTTAGTATTGAACTTCTCAATTCTCTCATCTACCTTGTATTTCACATTAAACATCCATTTGCATCCAATAGGCCTTTTGTCTAGAGGAAGTTTTGTAAAGGTGTATGTGTCATTTTGTTCAAGTGCTTGGATCTCCTCTTCAATTGTTTTTTTTTATTTTGGATTTTGAAGTGCTTCATGAATAGGCTTGGGTATATGCACACTATCAAGATTAGACACGAAAGCTTTATAAGGTGATGATAACTTCTTATATGCAACATACTCCTGGATATGATAATTAGTACAACTTTCCCTATCTTCTTTATTGGATTCCACCTCTCTTAGAACTTCAGAGATGTGGGTTTAAGTTTGGTTGTGAGGTTCTGTGGTTGCATATGTATTTGTCTTGCTCAATGGATTTCTTTCTCTCATCATACACACAAAGTTTATGCATTTCCTTGTTAATCTTAGGTTGTTTATCTCAAGTGGTGGAACATGAGAGACCGAATGGTTAGAGGGAAGTAGAATAGTTTGTGGTGACTTTAGTTCATTGTGGGTATCCAGAGTAGTGTCCTAAGTTTGATATTCACTTAGATTCTCCCTCGGAATATCAAATTCGGGACAATAAAGTTGGTTTTCAAAGAAGGTAACATTCAGATAATTAAAAGTATTTTTTTATAATGAATGAATAACACTTTTACCTTTTTTTGTTAGAAACATACCCAAGGAAGATACACTTGATAGATTTTAGGTCAAAGTTTTGTACGGTTTGGTTGATGAATGTGAACAAAAGAGACATCCAAATATTTTTAGAGGAAGATTGGATGAGAAGGCTTTGACATTATGGTATTTTTACATTAGAATATTGAGAGAGGCTTTGAATCCACAACATCTCCTCAGGCCATAAAGTTTTTACATTAGAATATTGAGAGAGGCTTTGAATCCAATGACTCTGCCTGGCATTCTATTCATGAGGTAGGTGGCAATGAGTACAACATCTCCTCAGAAAACTTTTGAGACATTACAACAACAACAACAAACCTTTATCCCACTAAGTTTACATGAATCCTTTTTCTCCATTGCATCCTATTGAGTGCCATATTTTCATTTAATTATAATAAATTAAGATCATTTTTTTATACAATATTCCCAAGTTTTTCTAGGTCTACGTCTGCCTTTCTTAATTTAAGTCGAATCTTAACATCTACTCTACTAGCTGGATCATAAAAAAGTCGACGTTTAATGTGACCAAACAATCTAAGACGACTCTCTTTATATTTGTTTGCCATTGGAGCTGTGCCAACCCTATCACAGATATATTAATTTCGCATTTTGTTTCAAGTGTAAAGCCACTCGTCCACCTAAGCATTCTCATCTAGACAAACTTAACTTAGTTTTATGCTTCTCTTTTCCTTTCAATCTAAGCGGGGTATTTTTCTATCACACAATAAGATCGAATCATTCCTCCACTTCAACTAATCAACTTGAATTCTACTAACATCCCCATCTATATCACCATCACTTTG